TGGTAGAGGGGGTCAGAGAAGCCAGCAGCATTTATCTCCACCACCACAACCCCTCCCCAGGGTCAGCATCCCACAGGCATGACCAGGTGGGGCGTGTGCAGTGCTGAGCAAAACTGGCACTACTTAAAGCTTAGTTTATCACAGGAGGCAGTGGTGGCCCACCAAAGGAAACTGCAGTGGAGTTCAAGGTGAATCAAATGCTGTGGTTTGGTTCTCTTTTTAAAAGGTGTTTTTAACAGTAGCAAAATGAGGTTTTGCAAAGCTGGGATGCACCCACACTTGCAAAGGCAGCCAGGATGCCTGCAAAGTTTTGTGGGGTGCTAAATGAAGCTGAGGCTCTGCTCAGGCCTCCAGAGGCAGGTGTCCTACATGGTTCCCCACTGCCAAGTACAGGGGCTTTGTGTTCCCCTTCTCAAGGAGCATTTTCAACAGCATGGGACTTTGCCATCCTTGGCGGGAGCCGTGGTAAGGAGCTGGGAGGCTTTCCTGGGATGCCTGATGCTCACAGGCTCCTTAGCTCAGCCTGAACTTGTGTGTGAGCATGCCGAGATACTGGCAGCTTTTACTTGCAATATCGTTATAGCTCAAATTAAAAAGGGTTGTGAAATAGCCCCATTTGTCTCATTTGGGGGCTCCAAGGGGACTCTCTGCCAGCACAGGGCTCTATGGCCACTCAGTACATTCATTAGCAGCTCTCAGGAAAGCGGGAATGAAGCCTACATAGCGTACAAAATCCAAGGGGTGTGCTAAAAAGCAACGGAGTGAGAAGTACAATGAAAGAAACATGTACAGCTGTGTCATTAAGGATTTAATATGAAACTCGGATGGAGAGTGTTGGTCTCCAGCTGCAGGTCAGCCTCTCCAGCATCATACTGAGCTGTGTTTCTCCAGGATGAGCAGGACCCTGCATCCCTCAGGCCTCTGGATGCTTTGGAGGAACCCACCTGCAAAGAAAAGCTGTAAGGTGGGCTGTGCTGGGTCTGACTGCGGGTCCACATCCCCTTCCCTGGAGGCGACTGGCAGCAGCTGCCCAGAGAAGACTGTGAACAGACCACACACACTGGGAACACCCTATATACTATAAACATACTCACTGTGTATACTGTATATACCCAGAACATTCTACTGGCCTCCTGTATGTCTCACAACCAAGGGTTTCCCACACCAGAGCTGGTGTCCATGTGTTTAGTAGCCTTGGATGAGTTTCTCCTCCATGACTGTGTGTTCATGGGTGTAGACAAACATACTAAGGCAAGAGGCCAGTCCTGGGGAAGTCTGGATTTACCAGACGGGACGCTCGGTCTGCAAGGTTAAACATTAAAAGCCACAATCTGTGCTCCCTGCCGGTCCCTGGTTAATTCAGCAGCCCACACACACACGGGCAGCTCTGTGGGGCCCGTGAGGCCTGGGAGAGCTGCACTTGCTGACTCCCAGGCCGCTGGCTAAACAGCAAACCCTGTGCTCCAACTTGGCTTCCTCGCACAGGCTGTCGGCACCCTGCAGGAGCTCAGGGTGCTGGGCAAATCCTAGCTCTTACAAAAACTTACGGGAATGTTCCACTCACCGTGCAGTTGTTAGCTCACTACCGATGGTGGCCAGTTCCAGCAGGGCAGACAGAGCGCCCTGTGCAGTCGAGAGATGAGACCTTGCCCTGCACAGGGTGGGTCTGATTCGGATTTGGAGGGGTGTAGCCGAAGGGCTGTGCCTGCAGGTGGTTGCATGTGGGGGTGCCGGCGGTCAGGGGGCTTGCAACCTACCTCTCTGCCTGGAGATGGCTTTCAGGCCACAGGTGCCGGCGGGCATCTTGCAGGAGTAGAGCCCCAGGCAGCCGCTGCAGCCAGAGGGCTCCTGACAGGGCCGGGACTGGATGTCACGGAGTGCTGCGAACGGAGGGAGGCAGAGCGGTGGCTGCGGTGATGGCATCCAGCCTTGCCTGGGACCCCCTCCGAGTCACAGCCATGTCAGTGCTCTATGCTTGTGCCACTGAGAGCCCCAGCCCTGAGGACCCTGTGCCATACACAGGCTTACATGAATACTTCCTGCACAGGCTTGGGCTGTCCTAGAGCAGCCACTCATAAAATTAGGTTTGCTTTCGGCGAGTGCCTGCCCCACAGCTGGTTAGTCAGCCGTTTTGGGACTACGTGAACTGCTCGGCCCCAGGACTGTGCTTGCTGGGAGCTGTTGGCTCTGGCACACTCACACTGACAGTGGTGCAATGACTGGGGGTGAAATGAGCTTGAAAGTGCTTCTTCATCTCCCCTAGATGGGCAGGACAGAGAGGATCTCAGTTGAAAGCAAAGCCAAGTTGCAGAAGGTTATATGATATAATGGGATGAGCATCTGCTGCATTATTTTACCATTTTAAATGGTAGAATAATGCAGAAAAACCTGCAGTAGCAGGAGGAGCTGCTCGCCAGGCTATAGAGCAGCAGCTTCAGGCAAAGAGCCCAAAGTCAGGGCCCAAGGAAGCAGTTTCAGGGGCAGCTTGTTACTGCTTTTGGCAGAAAGCACACTAAGTGGCTGAACCCCGTGGCTGAAGGGCTGCTGCCTGTGCCCCAGCCCACCTCCTGGGCATGGCGTTTTGGGACGCACACCCAGGCCTGCGCTCATCTCCTGACCTGCTCACCATCTGTGCGTGCACTGTCCGCTCTGCTCTAAGGCTCATCAGGTACCAGATGGGGTCTTAGGCTTGTCACTGCCCACCAGCCATGTCTGTACCACAAGCCAAACAGTGCTGTGAGGCCGTTGTGGCCAGCACTGTCACATGCAGCCCATGAGCTCAAAAGCACCTTTTCTACCCAATGTTTGCAAGGATGTATCTGCTTTTGATGTCCTCATGGTGCCACAGGGATCGCCAGGCAGTGAGGCTTCTGCACGGGGATGCTGAGGCTCATGTGTGCATGGAGGACTCAGTTTTGAAGCTGGAGAGCTGGCTGAGCTGCTCAGGCAGATACTGCCAATGTGAGGGCAGACAGTAGCAGTGCATGGGTCACGATGTGGGTGCAGCAACCTTCTGCCTGGAAGGTAGGTGCTGCCCCAGCCTTGCTCTGCCAGAAGCCCAGCCCTGGCTGCCTGGCGTGTGTGCATAACCATCCAAGTGCAAGCGTTTGGGTGGTAAAACTGCTGGGAGCTCAGGGCATGGGGCCCTGTGGGGAGGATGCTCTCCTTTCCCTGCATTGCAGCATGGCAGTGCATTTTGGGGCTGTCCTGACTGGTTTTGGTGTCTCTGTGCTGCACAGAGCTGCCAGACCCACTGCTCGCTCCCTGTTATAACAAGCATCCTGGTGGGCCAACGACATCCCGCCCACCCTGGAGGAACCCACAGAGCTGTGAAGCAGAGGGAAGGACCCATTTCTTTGGCCCCATCTTCTTCGTTAGTTGCTCGTAACACCATTACAAGTGGCCCCTCCATGCCCTGCAGACAGGTCTGCTGAAGGGGCTCACCAAGCTGCCCAAACCCAGGGACAGGAGCAGGGGGTTGGCACCTCCCCTCGCTCCCAGTCCCCCTGCAAATCCTCTGCGCAAACCCTCATCCTCGCTGGCCAAGGATGGGCTGTGCTTACTGTGTCCCTGTTGAATTTCCCGTGGCCCTTCAGGTGATGGCTCAGCCCTGGCCTCCTGCTGCGGGAGGCCTTCAGTGGGAGCTTCCAGGGCTTGCTGGGGGGGTCCTGCTGGCGGCTGCCCAGAGGGGGCTTGGCCAGGGCATTGCTGGGGGACCTGGAGCTGGGGAGGGCCTCTCCCATCACCTCCCATGCACCAGCTGGGGGGCAGCTCCCCTCCAATCCCTGCCTAGGCAGGTTGTCCCCTCCATCTCCAGGTGGCCAAGGGTCTTCTCCAGGGCCCCCAGCCCCTGGCTGCCTCCCTGAGGCACTGGCCCAGCCCCGCAGTGCCTCAGAAGGGGCTGGGGCTGAGCAGAGCAGCACCAGGAGGAGCGCAGTGACTGTCAGCACCTGGACCTTCATCCTCAGGGCCTGGCTTTGCTCGAGGTTCTCCTGCCCAGATAAGGCTGCTGGAGGCAGGAGCAGAGGTGGAAGCTGCCTCTCCTTCCTGCCACTGGATACAAAGTCATTTTTATAGCTCAGGGACCTACCCCAAGAGCCCAGCCCATTTCCCCCGCCCCTGCCCTGTCCCACTTCCCTGCTTGCGAGCAAACCCCATGGCTTTCATGGGCCTCATCCCCCTCCCCCCATAAACGCCCCAGCACCCTCCCGCCATGGCCACCCTGTCCCCACTCAGTGACAGGTACATGCGTGCCTCTCCTGCATCTCCTGCTTCCAAGCAGAGTCTTTTAGCTAAACCACACTTGCAAGTAAAGTCTTAGTAAAGGA